CGTAAAATTAATCAATAATAATATGTAAGCTAATGAAACAGCCACTTGTAAAAATCAGGTTGCTCATGCTTTTATAAAACATGATTAATTTCTATGCATTAAGCTGTGTTACTGAGGAGGGAAACCATTAAGCATCTTTCAGCCACCCCTTGTTGATAGCAATAAGAAAAGAATTGTTGTTTCTGAAGCTGCTCTACTCCATGATATCTTTTAAAATCTAATTTCTGGGATGGGGGAGGAATATTCAAATCACTCATAAACCTTCCTTTGCATGTTACAGTCATTATTCTCACGGGCAACAGGGAGTCTTTACAAGCAGCAAAAATCAAGTCTTTGTCAAAAAATAGTTACACAGAATCTCAAATGCCTTACATGATGGATAGCATAATTCATGGGCATTCAGTTTTACACTCAAATGATCTCCTGATAAAGGAAATAGTCTTGCTGGTCTAGCACTGCCAAGCCCATAGAGGAGGGATGCCATCAAGTAGTGCTCCACAATTAGCTCAGAATTATTGAAAAATAGGTTGAGAAAGATGGAAACAATAAAGATTTTGGCTCTGTGACTCCTCTTTTCTAACCTGGAAAGGGAATGAGCATGGAAAGCAGTGAGGGGAAATTGTGTCTGAGTAGAAAGTTAAAAAAAAAAAAAAAGGCACTAATAGGGCAGTCAAAAAGACAAATGGATTTGAAATTATTTTTCTCCCTTTGAAACCTAAACAGAACCTGTATATGCTGAGCCTGAGCTGAAGAGACAATAAATTAGTCTTTGCACCTGCAGTTGCCAAAAAAAATCTGCCAAATGCTGGATAAGATAACCTGCTTCTTTTTATTTCTAAAATCTGTCTTCCAGTAAAATCCTTCCTTTAAGGCACAGTAGATAATCCAGCAAGGCTTTGAGCAGTGGCTTGAGAGCTGTAATGTTCAGCCACAGCCTCAATACCCAAAATGGCCAGAGGCTGGCCCAGGACTGAGCCAAGAGATAACTAAGGCTAACTCAAAAAGATGTGAGAAAAAATGTAATTCCACCTGAGACACAAAGATCCACCACACTTCATGCTCTACGTTACTTTGCAGTAAAGATATTTCAAGACCCTTGCGGAGATTGCTATATATTTTTATCCCCAATTCAGGCATGGGAAAGGAAGGCCAGAGAGGTTAAATGCATTTGTCAAGAAAGTGTTCCCAGTGGCAGAACAGGAAAAGATATCACAGGTGAAATCTTTATCTTGTTAAAATCCATGAGTTTTGCTGCTATCTTCACCAGACTCTTGCTTTCACAAGGATCTGTTCCTATTTTTGCACTTTTTCTCAGCTATTTAAGACTTGTAGCTTAAAAATTACAAAACAGCAGAACCTAAACTTCATCTCTGAAAATTAATTTATGTTAAATTACGAATTAATCTCATTAAAAAATGGAGTGTAATTATCACTAGCCTCAAGTATCCTAGGAGTTTGTTCAAAGACAAAAGACAGCAGGAAACATTATTTTTCACTATGAACATTCTGATATTTAGTATGTACGTGCAACTTGTAGAAGAAATCACCACATCTTTCCCCGGGAGACTATGGAAAAGAGGTTGTAGTGAGGTAGGTGGTGGTCTCTTCTGTCAAGCAACAAGAAATAGGATGAGAGAAAATGTCCTCACATTGTGCCAGGGGAGGGTTAGATTGGATATTGGGAAAAATTTCTTTACTGAAAGAGTGGTCAAGTATTGGAAGGGGCCACACAGGGAAGTGGTGGAGTCACCATCCCTGGAGGGATTCAAAAAATGTGTAAATGGAGCACTTCAGGACATGGTTTAGTGGGCATGGAGGTGTTGGGTTGACAGTTGGACTTGATGATCTTAGAGGTCTTTTCCAACCTTAATAATTCTCTGATTCTATTATTAAAGAAGTTTAGCAGCTGAGTGGGTGAGTCAGGCATTCCTCAACAGGACGGACTTATTATCACTTGTGTGGACATGGGTCAAAGGTCACAGTGAGTAACTCCTGGCCCCAGCAAGATCTGCTTTCTAAGGTGCCTCTTGTTCTTATTGTGCCTCTCATTCCTATTTGCTCTCAGGTAGAGGAAGTTGCTTAGCAGGTATTCAGCTCCTTCTTTAACCCCAGGCTTAAATTACCAGGAAAATGCAGGATGGTTTAGAAAGTATCACTGTCCCTGAATTTTCTGCTTTGCCCTGTTGAGACTAAAAAGAAATTTCCTCTTTCTGATTAAGGTAATTAATATTTAGATCCATCACCTTTCAATTAAATTTTTAGTACATAAACGAACCTAATTACACCTGAGTAGGTCAATGAATGATTCTGATGTGGTTTTTTTTATTTCTAAATCCACATTATTTGAAAAAGCAGATACAACTACCATTTTAAAGCTCTCCTGAAAGCAAGAGTAATAACAGAAAAAGTATAATTTTGCCTTTAAAAGAGCATTTGCACAAATTAAGCACAATCTCCACTGCTTTCAGCTGTTTCTATACAACAGAAGGTTGTTTAAAACAAACTGGAAGTAATTTTACTGTCACGAGGTAACACATCACCCTTTGGAAAACAAAACTGAAGTGCATGGAGAACATTACTGTAGTTAGTCTGGTTCTTGTAGGTCAGGTCTTTGTCTTGCAGACAGAGACGTCCCTGCAGAGATGGCTTCTGAACTTATCAGTGCTGGCAGGTGCATGTTTTTCTCTTTCTCTTAAAATATCCAGAAATTTGTGAATCCTGTCCAATACTCAAAGCGTTCTATATCCTAAGCACCTGAACGACTATTCTAGTGCAAAATTCACACATTCACAGTCAAACTCTTCTCCCCATCGAGTATGTTGTCTTCATCTTCCAATTTAACAGCTTCATTAACAGATTTTGTATTAGCCTTATTATAGTGGGGAATGTGGAATTGTAATGACATAAATTTTGCTGTTACCAGTATGACACCACTACAAATTTTTTCTCATGCTATATATTAACAGCTAAAATTGCATTGTTTTAACATCATTAGCACAGGAATAGTAACGCAAAAGTTGTCACAGAGCAGAAAACAGCCAAAATACTGCATATGTGTAAAGGAAATTATTTCATATGCATATGTCAAACAGGTGTCAAATCCTTAACTTACATAAGTCGGCTGATACTATTTTACAGTCAACCCTCACAAAAGCTTCATGTCCAAACCTGTAGGCTGTAGACTTCTCTGAGAAAAGCCTATGACAGGATAGCTGCAGTACTCTCAGTTCACAGTGCAGCTAATTCTTATCTATACTTTCCTCCAACCAAATTCTCATGCTAATAGAGGTGCTCATTTCCTATGTTTCAGCTAGCAGCAGGTCAGCAGCTGTGCAGAATTCAATGGCCAGTGCTCCTATAAATAAATCCCGTTCTCTGCAAAATTAATTCCTCAGATATTTTGTTCTTCTGGCCACTGCTTATGCAAAGACAAGACAAGAACTGGAGCCTCAACCACTTCATGATTTCTCTCCGCTTTTCATTTACCTCCTTACCACAACAGCACTTTTCCCTCAGCAGTAAGCCCCTTCACCCATGTGCCACTCCTTTCTTCTTTATACTGAACACTGAGGATGAAGCACCATAAGGAAACCTTTTCCTTCAAATACTCTCTGCAGAATCAAAGGGAACAGTGGATCTGGCAGAGGAGGCTTGTGGTAACTGCTCATTGTGTTCACCACATTTGCAAAAATAAGTCTCTTTCTTGCCAGACTATGTCGTACATATTTAATTATATCAGCTCTAAGATTTTGGTTTAGATCAAATACTATTAACCTTTCTCTTTATGTGGGCCTATAAACTCAAGCCAAAAACTGTACAGCAATTAATCTAGTACAATGTTTGAGACAATAATTTTTCTTCAGTGGATCACAGTTCTCTTCCAAATTTTAAAGATTACAATCTCAGCTTCATTTTATTCTTGATGGTTTCTTATTTAAACAATGTTTAAGACAAAGCTTACACTTAAATATCTTGAAGACAATAGATTTTATTTTACCAGATATTAATTTTCTGTGAATATTCAACACCGTTAGCAATAACAGAGCAGTATTATCAAACTATGGTATTCATATAATCGATTTCATAGTGGTAATCATCATATCATTTCAAAGCAACAAATATCTAGAGACGATCTTCGAGCAGCTGTTAGCGATACCTGTCATGAACACCACCTAATAGGAAGAGCAATAGAGAACACAACCACAATTGTCAAAGGTGGCACAAGACAAAGTTAATTCATTTTCTAGAATACATAATCAAGTGCTGTGCAATCATATTTGCCTCAAGCCATAGGTGGTATTTCTGTGTGAAGTTCTAGCCTGCTATTCATTATTACAAAATCAACACTTCTGCTCCACAAGCCCTAAGTTTGAAATCTAATACAATAGAATACAACTATGTTGACATCTGAATAATATACGTATAGGTATAAGTATATATACACATACATATACATCTACCTTGTTCTGAAGCATCTGCATGTTTGTTGTATGCAACAGGACTGACAGATCAATGTAGAAACATGTTTGTACTTGTTTGAGGAATACACGTTACTTCCATACTATTCTTTTACCAACAAGGAAATCATCACATAAGAAAACATAAATATTACCCTTCATTTTTTAATCAGATTTCTGTTAAAGGCTTAATAAGTAAAATACATACCCCTTTCCAAATTAAGACTATGTTAGGAATAAGACTCAATAAGATTATTTCCTTTAATATATTTCCAAAACACTAGATTAATTTATTTCATGAGATATACTCCCATACTTAGCATTATTGCACTTTTTCCAGGGATCAGAACGGTCACTATCATCTTTAGTGACTTAATTTCTAAATAAAATCCTTCTACCATTTTTTACTTTGAGGAGAATTGTCACTACTTACTAAGTTACAGATGAGACAAAGTGGTGCTGAAATTTCCCATGAACCTTTGTATAAAGCTTTTAATACAAGCCTCCTTTCGCGTAAGTCAAAAACATACTGAAAGCACTAACCTGGAATCGATAAAAGGTGCCATCATCCTTCAGTGTTAGAACGTGGTCTGAGATTGGAAAGAAATAACCATGTGCTGCCATCAGTGTTCCCAAATGTAGAGCTTCCACTGTTTGAAGAACAAAAGAAAGATAAATCAAAAAAAACCCAACTACTTTCCAGCACTTTTCTTGTTCAGATTCACCTTATCTCGTGCAAATGAACCCTAAGTCAAGGTTCTGCCATCATGAAATCACTGTCCTTTTCTATGTAATATAGTGATGCAACCAAAACACCACTTTCCTTAACAAATGGGTATTAGATGTCTCATTTGTAGCTGCAGTTCCACTACTTACATCAGCATTAGGAGGCAGCTACTGCAATGTTCGCTTGCTTGTTTTGAAGCTGAAAACAGCCTGCTTTTCCTCTTCAGAACAGTCTCAGATTACATGATGTTAAAAGTTGATTACAATTGCATGATATCTTTCTCACTATATCACAGTAAAGGACAGAGATTTCCTTAAAAGCTTCTCACTACTGTGAAAATAATAAAGGATCACAGAATGGTTGAGGTTGGAAGAGACGTCGGGTGGTCATCAGATCCAGCCCCCATGCTCGAGCAGGGATACCTAGTCAGATTTAGCAGAAACTAAATAGGTTACAGATTTGTTTCATGTTCTTCTTGGATTCTGAATTGTAACACTTTTCAAAAGCACAGGAGCTCACATTATTTCCCTTCACCTACCAATCTTTAGACCACATCTGGACTACTATAGCCAGTTGGGAATAATATGTCCACTCCATTACAAGACAGACATCAAAAAACTTGATTGAGTCAGGTGGCAGGTCACCAAGATGGGTGGGGCTGGAGAACACACCCTGTAAAGAGAAGCTGGGGGAGCTGGGCTTGCTTAGACTGAAAAAGGGAAGGTTTTGGGGATGTCTAGCAGCACCATTCCAATACCTAAAAGGAGATTACAAAATGATGGAGCCAAGATCTTTATGGAGTTCCATAGCAATTTAAAAAAATAAAAATATAATGGTAATAAACTAAACCAAGGATGGTTCTGACTTCAGCCAAGCAACAGAGTAAGTTGACCAGAGAGCCTGTGCAAACTGCATCCTTGGAGGGTTCCATGACCTGAATGGTTAAAAGTCCTGGGCAACATGTTTGCCCTCATAGTTGACCCTGCTTTGAGCAAGGGGTTGGATTAGAGTTCTCCTGGGGTCCTCTGTGACTCTAGGTGGGTTAAGGATAAGTGCAACAAGAAGAAGAAAACAGGGATAGAGACAATTGGAGAAGAAATTATTTGAAAGCTCCTACCAAAGCAGCCTATAATTCTGGCAAGGTTGGTTGCAGTAGGAGTAAGAGTTTATATTTCTCTCACTAACCGCTGAGTCATATACAGAATTATGTAGTCATTACTAGTTCTCTATAGAAAAAAAAATAAATGGAAAGATTGACCTGGCCTTCCCCAGAAGGCAATTAAGGCTATTTAAGATCTGAATCATTCCCAATAGAAGCCTATATCTCTTCTTCAGTTATGTATGGAGACAAAGGTGGTTTTACTCTCACAGAATCACAGAATTATTGAGGCTGGAAAACACCTCTGAGATCATCAAGTCCAACCTATGCCCTAACACTACCACATCGGCTAGACCACGGCACTAAGTGCCACATCCAGCCTTTTCTTAAACACCTCCAGGGATGGTGATTCCACCATCTCCCTGGGCAGTCCATTCCAATGCCTGATCACCCTCTCTATGAAAAAGTACTTTCTAATATCCAGCCTAAACCTCCCCTGGCGCAGCTTCAGGCTATGCCCTCTTGTCTTTTCACTAGTTGCCTTGGAGAAGAGCCCGACCCTCACCTGACTACAACCTCCCTTCAGGTAGTTGCAGAGAGTTATAAGGTCCCCCCTGAGTCTCCTCTTCTCCAGGCTAAACAACCCCAGCTTCCTTAGCCTCTTGTTATAAGACTTGCCCTCTAGTCCATTCACCAGCCTCATTGCTCTCCTCTGGACCCACTCCAGCATCTCAATATCCTTCTTGAAGTGAGGGTCCCAGAACTGTACACAATACTTGAGGTGAGGCCTCACAAGGGCTGAGTACAAAACCAAACTCATTCAGGTAGGATGAATCTACACTAACTCAGTGTTAAGGTATCTTTCTGACTCTTTAACCATCAAGAGTTAATAGGGACACATACTTCTTTTTTCCTTCAGCAAATAGACAACTTTCACTTTTTTTGGCTATCAATCCAACAACTTATTCTAGCATTGCATAAATATAAATGCACAAATATACCTTTCTAATAACAACCTAAGATTCACTGTAGCTCACACCTGGAAATGTGAGCAGTATATGCTTACTAAAAGAATTTTAAAAAAAGAAAAGGAAAAGAACCATGCATGGTACAAGAATAAAGGCATTCACTTGAAAGTCTAAAATATTCTCCATTAGTATCACCCCAAAATGGGGCAATTGCACTATCGATAATCTTCACACAGAGACTGAATAACCTATAAACCAAATATGGCTCAAACAGTTGAACAACATCCACAAAATTGTTACTCGTGAATAACATCCACAAAACCATAACCCTGCCTCACACCAGACTGGTGGAGAACTAACACTGTTGCTCCCTGCGCAGCAGGAGAACTTTTGCACGGAAAGAAAAATCAGCTCTTGGAAGATTTCTAATCTCCAAGCAATAAGTTGCCCAGCATATTACAGATGCAACAGAGGCAACACTTCGACATACATCTTAATTTGCTAAAATTAGACTGAAAAGTAAATACCATAAGAAGCCAACGAAGCAGAACAGTAGAATTTAGGAAACAAAACCATGAGCTTCAAAAGTGAAATGTAGCCTGCTGCAGACTGGTCCTAAATGCCTGCATGCCTCGGAGCTCAGTTCAGACAGCTTCTGAATACCCTTTTATCGTGGGGCAGGGAGGGGGGAATCATGAAAAAATACTCTTAAATAAAAGGGTTGCCAGGGAGAAAGAGTAAAATACAAATTCAAAAAATTGACAGAACATAGACTGAAAGCAAGAAAACACTGGTTTTTTAGATGGCAAGTGTATACCGATGCACACAGAAATGTGATATCTACATAACTGTTATTTCCCAATCTTCAGCCACCGTGTGGAAGAATATGCAATGTAAGCTATGTTCTCAGTTACACCCAGATAGCCTTACTGAGAAGGCGTAATTCAAATCGCAGTCAACTGCTATACAATGAATAAAAACTGCAGCCAGAAATGTAACGCAAAAAATCTGAAGGGGACAAAGCTCACGGAGGTGTATCTGGTAGAAGAGAGTAGACTTTGGCTTCCTTTGTTCTTGACTACTTGCTTTGGAGACATCCATTATCTGAAGCAAGGTTCCAGGAATATTTCCTAGCACTGATACTGCTGAAAACTGGAACTGCATACTCAAGAAATAAATTTACCCAATCCACTGTTTTAAATTTTCATAGCTAAAAAGTGACAGTGTACTGAAGGATTTGCAAGTTATAACAGCTAATGGAAAAGAAATATCTCAGGTGAAAGACAGAAATACATCTTTATGAGCCTGGTGCATCTCAACAGGATATGAAATATTTTATATAAATTCAAAGTGTTGCTGTGGGTGTAGTTTTGATTCTGAGTGTGTATGCTATTGGTGGGCTAAAAGCTCAGAACAATATTAAAATTCCATGGTTCACTCTGCTGTTTATTTAGCTGAGTGGGTGAAGTGAACAACACATGTACATTGATTAGCAATCATTTTTGTGAGAAGTAATATTGCCCAGCCATCTGCTGTGCCATTACAAGGAGAGTGATCTTGATGGATTAAATGCTAGTTTCATTTAATATACTTTATTATACAAGAGAGTCAGACATTTTCCATGCTTTGGGACAATGTAGACCTGATGAAATCTAAAGAATGAAAAATATACCCTGGTTGTTGAGTTTTCAGTTTATTTTCTTTTTAAACATAGTGTAATTTTTTCCTTATTGTAATAGCTATCACATGGATTGGTGATAGTTCATTCATCTTAAATGTTAGGGTATGACCATATCAGTAGAACAACTTGTTTCTTATGATAACATCCACAGAAAGGGACAAAAAAGGATAGATGTTCCTCATTTTTCTGTGGAATAAACATGTTTATGTACTTTGAAATCCTTTAAAGAATGTATTTTCAGTGATTCATGTAGATTCCACATTTTCTTATACATGTCAGGGCTTCAGGTGATGTGGTCTCTATATCCAACTTTACTCTGAAGTCCATAAAACACTAAATTTAGAGTGTCATACCATTATAATCAGTCTCACAACACCTGAAGTAGCTCTGAGGGACTGAGGAAAGGAAAACAGTGTTTCTCAATCCTGCTCTACTACAAAATGGCATCTTTCAGAGTCTGTCTTATGTTCTTCTGTGCATCTCAGTATTGAAGATAGATTTCCTACAGAAAACGTGGTTTGGGACATTTTGTGTCCCTAAGTCCCATTTTGCCATATGATGTAAGTGACAGTGAAAAACACAAACTTGCAAGTTTGTCATACACTTTTCAATACAAAAATCTCAAACAAATGAAAGCCTCCCTTTCCATCAAACAATAAAGTGTTTGCTAATCCAGGTTATTTGTCTAATTTAAAATCCATCACAGTACTGAAGTATATTCCTAAGCCACATGGCTGCCTGGAAAAAGAATTAATGAGTCAGAACTTCACAAGCACACATTCATTTTAAGTGTCAAATGCCAAGACATTATCACTTACTCTCACCTCACTCCTTGCCAGTGTGAACACAAGCTGCAAAGGATTAACTTGAAGCTAAAATAATAAAATACAACCCACTTCTCATGCTCACACAACACGTAGGAGAGACTTGCTCTTTGGGCCTGACTGTGGCATTTAAAGAGGGGAAAATAAAGCAGCCAAAAAAGTTCTTGAACACCCACGTCACTATAAACCTTTCCTTTTTGTCCCATCTGAAGGATGGATTTTGCAAAGGGAGCAGCACTCAGTAAGAACCATTTCATGGAGGGTAAATCAGTGAAGGGATCATAGAACTATCTTGCCTGGTTTCTTTCTTTGCCATACTGGGTGGAAGAAGTCCAATCAAGCTGGACACAT